GGAGGCCTCTATAGTTGGAGAAAGATGGCTCAATCCGGAAACTCCATGGAACTTCCCATTAACATCAATGCCGCCCAAGTTACCACTGCCTATGGCCATCGGGCACTGCCTAAGCTGAATGAGGAGCTGCAGTCAGAGGACCTCCAGACGAGGCAGAAAGCCCTCATGGCCCTGTGTGACCTCATGCATGACCCCGAGTATATCTACAAGGCCATGAACATAGGTGAGCGTGACACAGCACACGTGACTATGACTGGGGTTCTAGCATGGCTTTGGACACTTGGTAGAACTTCAGTAATCAGGGTTGCTATTGTTTGAGCCTGGCTCCAGGCCAGTTCCACCTCAGGTGTAGTGCCCAGGTTCTTTTTAAAAAATATTTATTTATAGGGGCAGGGTCTTGCCATCTCCCAGGCAGTGACAGAATCATAACTCACTGTAACCTTGAAATCTTGGGTTCAAGAGATCCTTCCTGAGTAACTAGGACTACAGGCATGTACCACCATGCCTGACCACCTAAAAAAATTTTTTTTTTATAAACAAGATCTTGCTATGTTGCCCAGGCTGTTCTTGAACTCTTGGCCTCAATTGATCCTTTCAGGTCAGCCTCCAAAGTTTTGGGGTTATAGGCATGAGCTACCACACCCAGCCTGGATTATCTTATTCCTCAGAGCAGCCACCTACAAAGGAGGGTCCATTCTCAACCAACAAATAAGAAAAGCACACTTCAGAGAAGGGTTGTGAGTCTAGGGTTGCCCAATAAACAAATAAAGCTGGATTTTTATTTTTTTTGAGACGGAGTCTCTCTCTGTCATTCAGGCTGGAGTGCAATGGCACAATCTTGGCTCACTGAAACCTCCGCCTCTTGGGTTCAAGCAATCCTCCTGCCTTAGCCTCTTGAGTAGCTGGGATTACAGGCACCTGCCACCACGCCAGGCTAATTTTTGCATTTTTAGTAGAGATGGAGTTTCATCGTGTTGGTCAGGCTGGTCTCAAACTCCTGACCTCAAGTGATCCACCCACCGCAGCCTCCCAAAGTCCTGGGATTGCAGGTGTGAGCCACCGCACCTGGCCAAAGCTTCATTTTTATTTATTTTTATTTTTTTTGGGATGGAGTTTCACTGTTGTTACCCAGACTGGAGTGCAATGGCACGATCTCGGCTCACTGCAACCTCCACCTTCTGGGTTCAAGCAATTCTCCTGCCTCAGCCTCCCGAGTAGCTGGGACTACAGGCGCAGACCACCATGCCCAGCTAATTTTTGTATTTTTAGTAGAGATGGGGTTTCATCTTGTTGACCAGGATGGTCTCCATCTCTTGACCTCGTGATCCACCCACCTCAGCCTCCCAAAGTGCTGGGATTATAGGCGTGAGCCACTGCGCCTGGCCAAAGCTTCATTTTTATTTGCTAAATCTGGCATCCCTAGGTGTATCCCACTCAAGTTCATGTGACTAGTTTGAGACAGTCACATGACTGTTATAATTTGACCCCATGTCTCTCTTGGGTTCAAATAAATGGCAAAGGCCACTTTCTTATCCCCATGACAGACTTCGTGAGAAGGCACTAGTAGGAAGTGTACAGGGAGAATCACTAGGAGGGTTGGATAGGACAGTCCCTGGGTATGAGCCTCTTCAGTGACTCTGAAATGCTGCATAACCCACATGATTCCCCAGGTCCCCAAATCAGAGGAACCTCTGGTACATTCCTGTCCCAACTGGCCCACTTGTTGACTTCTGGGTTAGTTGGTTTCTGAGACTGGCAAACATTCAAGGGTCTCTTTGTTTGTTTGTTTGTTGTAGGCTGCATGGAGAACTTGAAAGCTTTGCTGAAGGATAGAAACAGCATGGTGCGGATAAAGACCACCGAGGTTCTCTACATCATGGCGAGCCATAGCGTGGGCAGGTGGGACGCTGTTCTGGAAACCAGTGCGACACTTGCAAGCTGCACTTCTCTCCTGGGTAGTTCAGATCCTACCCATGCGTCTAGGTGGATTCCCTTGAGCCACCTACAGTGCTCTGGAGTTTTGTCTGCAGCCCCAGTTTTTGGAGGAACTTCAATTTAGCCAGAGCGGGACTCTGTGGGGTGATTTTGGTTACCTCTGTGGGGTTCTAATGGACCCTCTGTTCAGACTGATTTTTATGTTTTGAGCTCTAAGCTTCTTCTTCCCTCCTTCCCTTTCTTCCTTCCTCCCTTTCTCCCTTCCTTCCTCCCTCCCCGCCTCCTTTCCTTCCTTCCTTTTCTTTTTTTAAAAATTTTTATTATTTTATTATTTTTTATTTTTTATATTTTGGAGGTTTCAGTGGGACGGGAGAATCACAAGGAATCAGGTGTTCAGAGGAATGTATTGAATAGAGGTGAGGAGCTAGAATGTTGAAAAGTAAAAAAAAGAGAGAAGGAGAGGAAGAAAGGAAGAAAAAGAGGGAGAGAGAACAGGAATATTGCTTCATTCTAAAAATGGGTATTAATAATGGCCAATCAATATTTTGTGTATTTAAAATGGAGAACTCTATAAATATTTATTGAGTTTACTTGTTCCGGATCTGAGTTGAAGTCCTGGATATCCTTATTAATTGTCTGTCTCATTGAGTCTAAATCTCATTATGGGTCTTATGTATCTGGGTATTAAGATCTCTTATTGTTGCATTGATCCTTTTACCACTGTATCTTTGTTGCTTTGAAATCTATTATCAAATGTGAGAATTGCAACTCCTGCTTTTTGTTTATTTATTTATTTTTGCTCTCCATTTGGTTGGTAAATTTTTCTCCAACCCTTTGTTTTGAGTCTTTGTGTATCTTTGGATATACCGTTAGGTTTTGGCTGTATCTTTTGATTGGGGGATTTAGTCGATTTAAATTTAGGGTTACTGCCATTTGATGTTAACTGGCTATTTTATCCATTCGTTGATGTAAATTCTTCTTTATGCTGATGCTCTTTACTTTTTGGTATATTTTTAGAAAGGCTCATACTGGTTGTTCCTTTCTATGTGTAATGCTTCTTTCAGAAGTTCTTGTAAAGCAGGCCTGGTGGTAATAAAATCTCTGAGTTCTTGCTTGTTCATAAAAGATTTTATTTTTCCTTCAATTGTGAAGCTTAGTTTGGCAGGATATGAGATTCTAGGCTGAAAGTTCTGTTCTTTAAGTATGTTGAATATTGGCCCCCACTCTCTTCTGGCTTGTAGGGTTTCTGCTGAGAGATCTGCTATAAGTCTAATAGGCTTCCCTTTATGGGTAACCTGGCCTTTCTCTCTGGCTGCCCTTAGTATTTTCTCCTTCGTTTCGATCCTGGTGAATCTAACGATTATGTGCCTTGGGGTTGCTCTTCTTGAGGAATATCTTTGTGGTGTTCTCTGTATTACCTGGGGTTGAATAGTGTCCTGCTTTGCTAGATTGGGAAAATTTTCCTGGATAATATCCTGAAAAGTATTTTCCAGCTTGGATTCATTCTCTCCATCACATTCAGGTACACCAATCAAACATAGATTGGGTCTTTTTACATAGTCCCATATTTCTTGGAGACTTTGCTCATTCCTTTTCATCCTTTTTTCTCTATTCTTGTCTTGTCATTTTATTTCATTAAGTTGGTCTTCGACCTCTGATATCCTTTCTTCTGCTTGATCCATTCTGCTATTTAAACTTGTGCATATTTCACTTTTCTTTCCTTCTTTCGTTCTTCCTTTCTCTCTCTCTCTCTCTCTCCTTTTCTTACTTTGAGACTGTCTCTTGCTGTGTAGCCCAGGCTGGAGTGCAGTTGCATGATCTCAGCTTACTGCAGCATCTGTCCCTTCAGGCTCAAGCAATTCTTGTGCCTTAGCCTACTGAGTAGCTGGGACTACAGGCATGCGCCATCATGCTTGGCTAATGTTTGTATTTTTAGTAGACACAGGGTTTCATCATGTTGGCCACTCTGGTTTCGAACTCCTGGGCTCAAATGATCTGCCTGCCTCGGCCTCCCAAAGTGCTGGGATTATAGGCATGAGCCACTGCACCCAGCCAAGCTTCCCACTTTCAAGGTGGGAAGAAAGTTCAGATCCTACCTCTGCAACAATTTTGTCATTTCTTTTTCTTTCTTTCTTTTTTTCTTTTGAGATGGAGTTTTGCTTTTGTGGCCCAGGCTGGAATGCAATGGCATGATCTCAGCTCACTGCAACCTCTGCCTCTCGGGTTCAAGTGATTCTCTTGCCTCAGCCTCCCAAGTAGCTGGAATTACAGGCATGTGCCACCACACCTGGCTAATTTTTTAGTAGAGATGGAGTTTCTCCATGTTTGTCAGGCTGGTCTCGAACTCCCGACCTCAGGTAATCTGCTCGCTTTGGCCTCCCAAAGTTCTGGGATTATGGGCTTGAGCCATTGAGCCTGGCCCAATTTTGCCATTTCTTAGCTTTTTACAGAGAGCGCAGTTCTCCAACCCAGATCACCATGGGGCCTGTGGCTTTGGCTCCTCTCTCTGTGAGGGTATTAAAACAATAGCCTCAAAGTGCATATCTGGTCTGGGCTGGTGGCCTCACTTCCTGTTCATGTTGGCCAGGTTCTTGGTTTCTCACACCTGGAAGTGTCCTTTTCCTTTATAAGCACAGATTCACATTTTAAAGTATTTCAAATAGCATTTTACTTAGGTGCCGGGGCAACAGGGTGAGGATGGTTGGAGGTGTTTCTTGGCTCACTCTTTTGTCCAGTGATCACTAGTTTTACTCTGTATTAAAAACAAAATCGTGGTCAGGCACGGTGGCCCATGCCTGTAATCCTAGCGCCAAGGTGGGTGGATCACAAGGTCAAGAGATCGAGACCATCCTGGCCAACATGGGGAAATGCCATCTCTACTAAAAATATAAAAATTAGCCAGGCGTGGTGGCACGTGCCTGTGGTCCCAGCTACTCAGGAGGCTGAGGTGGAAGAATTGCTTGAACCCAGGAGGTGGAAACTGCAGTGTGCCAGGATTGCGCCACTGCACTCCAGCCTGGTGACAGAGCAAGACTGCATCTCAAAACAAACAAAACACAAAATCGCAATGTTACAACTCTTTTCGAATTTGTCTGGTGGGTTTGCTTGTTTTCACTGGAAACTTTCCCCACCAGCCTCCCACTAAAAAACAACAAAAAACAAAAACAGAACCCTACATCACAAACACCCCCAAGCCCTGCCCCAGGTCTTCTGGATAAAGGGGGCCACTGCCCAGTGTGCACAGGCCTAGAAGGAAGAAAAGACAAGAGAGGCAAGGTGCTGACTGCCTTGGGGCTTGTGTGGTGTAAACAGGTACCCATTCAGAGAGGCTCCAGATTGTTTCAGGAGTGCCAGGACATCTCACAAAACCCAAAGTCACTCAGCCCTGCCAGTCCCCAAGCTCTCCTTGCCTTGGTGGCTGATCCTGTTTGCAGCCCTGGCCCTGTGTGAACCGTGTGTGTGTGGAGGTGGTGCCAAGGCTAGCACCCTAATTCACATGCTTTGTACCAAGAAGGGCAGGCCAGTACTGCGGACAGACCAGTGAAGTAGGGGCACAAATCCCGGCCTCTCAAGGGGCCTACTCTTTCCTGCTCTGTGACCTGGGCAACACTCGTGATCCCAGCCTCACTCTGCAGACCTCAAAGGACCCAGGCAAGGTGCTTTCAAAGGTCAGGGACACACAGGAGGCAAGTCACCTTTCCTGCTGTTCTTTTTTCCCCACTTTTCTGGACCCGATATGGACATTAAGTAGTAAACCCCAGTGAGAGGGGACAGATGCTGAGAGGACAGGTCCTTGAAGCCTGAGCAATTATTAGATTAGTGCAAAACTAATTGTGGTTTTGGGATTAAAAGTCAAGGCAAAGACTTCAATGACTTTTGCATCAACCTACTTATAAAGAATGGTAGGAAGGCAGATTGGCTGGAGTGCCTAAGCCAAGGGTCCTGTCTTTGTCCACATTAGCGAGGCAGGAACATGGTGAAGTGACCATCCCTGACAAGGACCTGATATGGCCTGGCCCATGCACTCCTTCAGCATTCTCAGAAATGTGGCCAACTTCTAAATTTCCCCTGAGGTCAGTGGTGACCTTATAACCAGTGCCAACAGTTTTCAGAGCCCCATAAGCTCTAGGTAGTGGCCCTGAACTTCCCAGGTAGGAGGCACACAGGCAAAAACAACTTTTTTTTTTTTTTGAGACAGAGTCTTGCTCTGTCTCCAGGCTGGAGTGCAGTGGCACTATCTGGGCTCACTGCAACCTCTGCCACCTGGGTTGAAGCGATTCCCCTTCCTCAACCTCCTGAGTAGCTGGGAATACAGGTGTGTGCCACCACGCCTAGCTCATTTTTGTATTTTTAGTAGAGATGGGGTTCCCCTTGTTGGCCAAGATGGTCTCGATCTCCTGACCTTGTGATCTACCTGCCTCGGCCTCCCAAAGTGCTGGGATTACAGGTGTGAACCACCACGCCCGGCCACAGCTGACTTTCAAAGCATAAGAAACATGGAGTGGGTGATAGGCACTGACCAAGGAGGCCCCTGCAGTCAGGGAAGACCCCTGTAGCTTGTGTGTCCCACAGTGACTTTCTTCTTGAGAACAGTTCAAAATACACCATAAGTGAAATTGTGACCAGTACTGCAGTAGCACAACTGGTTGGGCACTTCCTGTGGGCACTTGGCTAGGGGGCTCCCGCATGCATCTCATTAATTCCTGAACCCAGCCTGAGAGATGTGACCTCAGAAGGCCTCTTTCAGGTGCACTCAGGTCCAGCAGTCGGTTAATCAAAAAGAAATGATTACAAAACAAGGAACTGAAGAAACGGTTCCCTTTAAATGGTTCATTTTAACCCAAAATGCAAAGGATAAGGCATTCACCCATCCCCATGTGGGGCCCAGGCCTTTTCTTGGATATGAGACCACTGATTGGTGTTTCTCATCATATTTTTTTGCTTAAACCATACTCATAACATCATCTGAGTTGCAGCTTTGGTTTCTTTAAAGTAGAGCAAGAACTCAAAGACATTAATGAAATAATCTGTATGCACAACCCTTCTGGAATCTTTGCCTGGCTAACTTTTAAAATTTTAAGTAGGGACTGGGTCTCACTATGTTGCCAGGCTGGTCTGGAACTCTTGGCCCAAGTGATTCTCCCACCTCAGTCTCCCAAAGAGCTGGGATTAGGTGTGAGCCAGGAATGTGGTCTCCTCCAGTAGCCTGGATCAGACTCCAGCAGGGAATCTGACTTTTCATATTTGACCCTCTCAGGCCATGGTCTCACTTATGTCTCTATCCGTCCTCCCTTCCCTAGATTCGCCTTTCTAGAGCACGACATCGTCCTTGCCCTGTCCTTCCTGCTGAATGACCCTAGCCCAGTCTGCCGGAGGAACCTGTACAAGGCATACATGCAGCTGGTCCAGGTGCCTAGAGGTAGGCTCGTGTCCTGCACACACATTGGCCAGACACTCAGATTGTCTGCTGGTCTCCTCTACAGGTCACATATGTACCAGGCTGTAGATCATCAAGTGTTGATTAAATCACAACATACATATTAGAAAAGCACATGTCTGGCCAGGCGCGGTGGTTCACACCTGTAATCCCAGCACTTTGGGAGGCTGAGGCGGGCAGATCATGAGGTCAGGAGTTCAACACCAGCCTGACCAATATGGTGAAACCCCATCTCTACTAAAACTACGAAAATTAGCTGGGTGTGGTGGCGGGTGCCTGTAATCCCAGCTACTTGGGAGGCTGAGGCAGGAGAATTGCTTCAGGAGGTGGAGGTTGCAGGAGGCAGAGGTTGCAGTGAGCCAAGATTGCACCACTGCACTTCAGCCTGAGTGACAGAGCGAGACTCCATCTCAAAACAAAGCAAAAGCACGTGTCCTAAACAAACATTTGATTAAATGGTTCTGAGTGAACATGTCAGGTAACTGCTACTCCAAAGAAGATAAGGTAGAGTATTACCACCTCTACAGAAACTTCCCATATGCCCATGCTGGATACTACCCTCAACCAATGGCAAACAGTATCTTCAATTTCTAAGACCACAGATTATGCCTCTTTTACAACTTTATATCAGTGGAAACACAGCTTATAATATCTTGCTTGTAGCTACTTTTGCTTAATGTTTTATTTCCGAGCCTTCTATGTGGTATGTATGACCGATTTTTGCGGGTTTATGCTGGAGTATGGTATTTACGCTATGTGAGTATACTACAGTTTACTTACCCATTCCATTGCTGACATGCATCCGAATTGTTTCTAGCTTATGGCTACCAAGAATAGAGTGGCTATAAATACTCTTGTAAATGTCTTTTGATGGACACGTCTATGCATTTATTTTGAAACATACCTGGCAGGAGAATGGCTGGCCTGGGTAAGTTTATGTTTAGCTTTTAGAAGGTACTACCCAATCGTTTTCTAAAATATTTGTGTTTGGCACATGCCCAGTCCCAGCTACACAAGAGGCTGAAGCAGGTGGATTGCTTGAACCTAGGAGTTCTAGGCTGTAGTGCCCTATGCCAGTTGGGTGTCTGCACTAAGTTCAGCATCAATATGGTAGCCTCCCAAGATGGGGGGACCACCAGGTTGCCTGAGGAGGGGTGAACCAGTCCAGCTCACAAACAGAGCAGGTCAAAGCTCCTGTATCAGTCACAGGACTGCACCTGTGAATAACCACTGCATTCCAGCCTGGGCAACATAGCAGGAATAAAATATAAAATGAAATGAAATATTAGTACCAGTCTGTACTCCCACTAGCAGTATATGAGAGTTTCAGGTGCTTTACATCCTCAATCATAGATTTTTTTTCGGTCTTTTTATGTTAGCTATTTTGGTGGGTGTGTAGTAGCATCTCATTTTGGTTTTAATTTATATTTCCCTGATGACTAAAAGGGGATGCCCTGTAAATATTTTCTTGTGTGAAATACAATAGCACATGTTTAAGGGATAAAGAAGGCCTGCCCTAGAGGCAATGTTGCCTGCAGTTCCTGGCCCACCGCACCTGCTGATTAGATGGAGAGTCTGGGGTAACAGCTACCCAACAACTGCAGCTAGAGAGTTAAGATTTATAGCAGATAGATACCTGCCCAGTCGCGTGATGCAATTATTTTTATTATTTACTTATTTATTTTGAGATGGAGTTTCGCTCTTGTTACCCAGGCTGGAGTGCAATGGTGTGATCTCAGCTCACCGCAACCTCCACCTCCTGGGTTCAGGCAATTCTCCTGCCTCAGCCTCCTGAGTAGCTGGGATTACAGGCATGCATCACCATGCCCAGCTAATTTTTTGTATTTTTAGTAGAGATGGGGTTTCACCACATTGACCAGGATGGTCGTGATCTCTTGACCTCGTGATCCACCTGCCTCGGCCTCCCAAAGTGCTGGGATTACAGGCTTGAGCCACCGTGCCCGGCCGGCAATGAGTATTTTTAAATGAGCCTTGAAAGGATTCCCTCAAGGGCCATGACAGGAAGTCTTGAAGGGGATACCTTAGCTCAAGTGGACAAACAGATGTTGTAGCCAAGGAGTCAGATGAACCTGGGTTCCCTCTGCCCTTCCCCGTGCACCCCTGGACAGGCTATTTCTGAGGTCTAAAGGACCTGCCTCAGAGGCCAGAAAAGTGGATGAAGTGGAAACACTGGCCTGGTGTATAGCACAGCATCCTGATGAAGGATGTAGTGTAAATGTTCAAGCCCCGATGTGAGCATTCCCTGGATGAAGGCTCAGGGAGAAATGACTACAGGATCAGCTGCAGATAGGTGGGCCCAACAGAGCAGAGCCCATGAGGGTCTAGGATTGTTGCTTGGCCACTGAACCGGGCTGGGAGTTGAGCACGCTAGGCCTGTGGTTTTTTAAAAACACCACCATGCCCCTGGTCCTCTCCTAGGCCACCAGGATCAGTCTCTGGGGGCGGGGCCCTGCATACATATTTTTGAAAACACACCTTGAATGATTGTCATGCGTGCCCTGGGGTTGAGAGCCCCTGGGGTATTGGGGTGATCCATGGGGGACCAGTGCTGGGTTGAGCTAAATGAATGCCCTGTGCTCACTGTAAAGGAACCTGAGGAATAAGTGAGGGTCTTGTCCCCTCATTTTTGGAGTGTGGGGAGAGGGGACTTGCTGGTCTCAACCAGGCCTCTT